ACAGCAGTGGGCTTGGCTTGGGTTTGGATCTAGCTTTTGGCCAAGTATATTAACTTCTCTCTCCTATAGCCTACTCATTATTCATTTATACCATTTTTATTTACTTTGGTAGTGTGAACTCCTAAAACTTGTTTTGGATTTGAAAATAAATTTTATTTTGGTGTATTTTACCAAAAATTAATTTAAAATGAGTTGAAAAAATAACATCAAGTATGAAAATTAACAATAAGTAACAAAACATTACCTCTCAACGCTCATACTTTTCCTCTCTCCATCCCTTGTGGGGAAAGAAAAGAAAGACTTTATTTACTTTCTCAAAGAAGACTAATTTCCTTTTTGCCATTCAAGAGAATAGTTTGGTTAACTTTACACATCATGAAAAATAGGTTTTTCTTATCTAAAAATGAAACTATCACCAAAGAACATAGATTGGTAAGATGCCAATGTGATTAGTTAGATGTGTCATGGATCAAGTCTATATCTACTGAAGAGAACAAACTTGAAAATGAGTTGGTATTATAAATTGCTCCTATCAAAAGACTGTATATCAAAAAACCACACTGATAAAATCCAATTTGAAGTGACAGTGTAATAGCTTGCAGTTAAACCCACTGCTAGAGTAGATTCTGACTCATAGTGACCCCCATTAGGTTTCCAAGACTGTAAATCTTTACAGAAGTAGACTACCTCATCTTCTTCTCATGAAGCAGCTGGTGGGTTTAAACCGCTGACCTTCTGATTAGCAGCCAAATGTCTTACCCACTATACCACCAAAGCTCCATAGCCTGCAATTACAGGACATAAATAAATTTTAAATAATTTAATATCAGTTATGTAGCCTTTTTTTTTTTTAGGAGCTCTGGTGGCTCAGTGGTTAAAGGACTTGGCTGCTAACCAAAAGCTTGGCAATTCAAACCCACCAGCTGCTCTGTGGGAGAAAGCTATAGCAGTCTGCTTTCGTAAAGATGTACAGCCTTTGCAACTCTGAGGCAGTTCTACTTTGTCCTATAGGGTCACTAAGAATTGGAATCCACTCAACAGCAGTGGGCTTGGCTTGGGTTTGGATCTAGCTTTTGGCCAAGTATATTAACTTCTCTCTCCTATAGCCTACTCATTATTCATTTATACCATTCTTTAGAACTTTAGTCAGAATTTCATTTACAGCAATAGGGTGAGGATATGGAATCTGAATCAACTGGTTTGGCTGGATTCTGTCTGCCCTGATAGGAGAAATTAAAATAACATGCAAACTACTCATTTTCCAAATATTTATTGAACCTACTATGATTCAAACACTGGTCAGTAATACTGTGAGATACAGTGATGAACAAAACAGATCTGGTACTTGCCCTTAAGTAACTTACAGAGAAGGGGGACAAAGAAACAAATATAGACCTAAATATATAATATATCTAAAGGAAGAAGTACCACAGATTAGAAAATAAAGCAAAGTAGGGGAATAGAAAATGTAGAGGAGGAAAAGGCAGACTTGCTATTTGATATTATTATAAATTACGAATTTCACTTAAAAGCATGACCAAACCAAACCAAAAACCAAACTTAACTGCCATTGAGTCAATTCTGACTCATAGTAACCCCCTTTGGCTTTCCAAGGCGGTAAATCTTTACAGAAGTAGATTGCCCAGTCTTCCTTCTGTGGAGTGGCTGGTAGGTTTGAATCGCCAACTTTCTGGTTAGCAGTCCAATGACTTAGACACTATGCCACCAGACCTCCTTTTAAAAGCATGACCAACATGTCTAAATATCATAGGCTAATATGTGCTATGTTATAGCAAGAACTGCATCATTTTTTTTTTCACTATGGAAACAAAAAGAGGATAAAGATTAAAGAAAATTTTAACCGATCTTAAATTATTTTATATGTCTCCTCAGTAATCCTACTGTTGTCCCTTAGTTTAAGTTCAAGAATATAAAGGAGTTGTTCTGATGGCAGACTGCCAGGATGAAGACAAAATTGTAAAAACAGTGCCTAGCTTTTACTTTCAAGATTCTCATTCTTTTTTTAATCCCTCTCTTTTCACTCACCTCCAACAATGTACCTTTCTAGCTCTCACCAAAAAAACCAAACTCACTGCCGTCAAGTTGGTTCTGACTCATAGTGACCCCTCCTTGGGTTTCCGAGGCAGTATCACTACGGAAGTAGATTGCCTAGTCTTCTTTTTGAGGAGTGGCTGGTGGGTTTGAACAGAAAGACTTCTGGTTAGCAGTCAAATGCCTTAGGCCCTATGCCACCAGAACTCCTTTCTAGCTCTAGGGAACCTCTTTTTAAGACCTAGATGAAAAAGTGACAGGGAAGCAAATTCAGGAACTCTCCTCTCGTTGTTCCCTATGCCTAGAATACTCTTTTCCTAAATCTTTGCATGGCTGGCTCATTCAGGTCTCTGCCTCTGGCTGACCACTACCACCCCCTAATCATACACCCCAACTCATTTTTATGCCTTCACTCTGCTTTATTTTCTTCATTTATTGTTGCACATTTCTGTCCTCAAAAAACTGGCCACCAGCATTCCTCTGATGTTCTAAACAAAGAATAAGGCAGGGGTAAGGAAAGAAGGTAGTCATATTCCTTTTGTCCATCTAGTCAATTATAACTCAAGCCAATTTAGGAGTGATTCTTTATTCCTTCTTCCCCTCTTCTCTGACATCTAACCTGTTGGCTCTAACTCACAATATTCTGAATTTAACCAGCCTAAAAGAATTTTAAGGAGCCCTGATGGTGTGATGGTTAAGGTCTTGGCTGCTAACCAAAGCTCAGTGGCTCAAACCCACCAACTCCTCCATGAGAAGATGTGGTAGTCTCATTCCATAAAGATTACAGTCTTGCAAATTCTGTGAGGCAGTTCTACTCTGTCCTATAAGGTCACTATGAGTCAGAATTGACTCAACAGCAACAGATTTTTTAGTTTAATATATGTTATTCTTAACGGTTAAACTGCTTTTTCAGCAAATAATAAAGAAAAAGCAAAATGACTATACAAATACCTTTCCAGATGTGTTGAGCCTAGTCCCAGGGAGATATGAAGGAAATAATGCCAAGATGTTTCAGAGAAAAGGAGAGAAAGTAATGCTCTCTGTTGGTAGAGTTCGGTGCAAGTAATGATTCCAATGGCCTTTAACATTTTCTCTGTAACTTTTCCTATTCCAGAAATCTAGAAGAGAATCAATATTTGTCATTAATACATTTTTAAAGTAAGCTAAAAATTGAGACGGTAATTTCATAAAAGGTCTGAAAAGTGTGACTGTCTGTGTAAGTCATACAAGAAAACTTGTTTAATTACTTTTGGCCACATTTACTAAACTAGTGCTCCATGGAATTTTAAAAGGTGTATTTTTCTTTGAAAAAAAAAAAAAAAAAGTTCTACAGTCATATAAGTTTGAAGAATGGTAGGTGTAGTAATTAAGGTTATGGGCCAACTTGGCTGGGCCTTGTTTTGAGCGGCTGGGCAGCTGAATGTAGTGATTACCCATGATGAGACTAGTAATCAGCTCCATGGTAGAATCTGCTGTGAGCAGCTGAGTAGCTGTCTTAGGGATGTGGTCTGCTTCCAGTATATAAGGAGAAGCTTTGAGGAAGGTCTCTAGCTTTTGGGCACATCTGGATCCCGCATTTGGCCGAGTCTTCACCTCAGTGGCCTGCCATGTTATCTGCTGATCTTGACACTGCTTCTGGGCTTGAACTAGTGGCCTGCCATGTTGCTTGATAATTTGGGGACTGTGGCATTTTACTTGTTGACATTGGGTTTATCAGCCTCAGCAGCCAGCACCTCCAAGTTAAGAGAAGCCTCCAGCTTCAGTGGGCTGGGAGCAAAAGGCAGAGCTGAAGCCCAAGGTCAAGGGGCTTTCACCCAGCTCCTAGAGCTGGCACTTTGAACTCAGACTTCTAGCCTCCTAAACTGTAAGAAAATAAGTCCCTGTTTGTTAAAATCATCCACCTGTGGCATTTTCTGTTAGAGTGGCACTAGTAAACAAAAACAGGGTAAACAAATTTAAGCTGGACTTTCCACTGCAAGACTTAAGAATCTTTAATATACTAATATCCATTGTGACCCACCAAGGGCAGTGTGCTCCAAAGTTATTTGACTGCAGAAACTTTACTTTAAAAAGCATATTGGAAAAATACTGCTTTATAGTTATACCTTACATATACTAAACTATTCAGTAATCATTATGTATGTATAACCTTTCTCTGAGCATTGAGAAATCATTCATTTAAATTCCCTTATATTATTATGTTGAGTAAGAACAGTAAAAGCTTAAATATGCAGGAAAACATATAAGCTTTAAAATATAGTAATATACCTTCTCTGGAACTCCTGGGGATAGTTTTACCATTTTAAATAGGTAAAGATTTTTGGTTTATTTTTCTGATCAAAAACAATTAAAATTCTAATTCTCTTTGAAGATCAGCCTGGTAGCAATGTAGACATTAGAAGTTGGATAGTATTAAGTTACTGATTAAACAACTCTTTGAAGTATTTTTTTTCTCTTTTCCTTGGCAGAAGTACACTTAAGTCTGTCATCTTAAAAATTTCCAGCTAACCAGTTTTCCAAACTTCATTTTTGGGGCTTTAAAACTCATAGAAAGATTTTATTTCAAGTTCAAATTCAACCAGCCATAATTTTTGCTCGTTACCTATTTTTTATTTTCAGCAAAGAATAGTATCCTTCAGAACTCAGAATACATATACAGTTGTTAAATTTTACATAAAATCTCACCTTTCTAATGGGTAAGTCCTTGATGAAATCCATTACAGCTTGTCTGTTGGGCAGAATCTGGTATTGGCCATTTGGTTTATTCTTATCACTGCACACTTTTGCTAACATTGTATTTGGGGCAATGCCTTTAAAGAAGAACACTCTGATGACTCAAAGAGGTTAACATGTATGCTTTTAAGATACACAATGATAATAATGAAAAGAAATAACAAAGCTAAGTGGAAAAAATATGAAATAAATGGAATGTTACTTTAAAAATAACATTTGATTACTACCCATCTCCTTAGGAAGGTGCTCTTGGCACAGTGGTAAAGCATTTGGCTGCTAACCAATAGGTCAGTGGTTTGAACCCACCAGCTGCTCCTCAGAAGAAAGATAAGGCAGTCTGCTTCCATAAAGATTTACAGCCTTGAAAACCCTACAGGGCAGTTCTACTCTGTCCTATAGTGTCACTATGAGTCAGAATCTACTCGATGGCAGTGGATTTTGGTTTGATTTTGGTTTATCTCCTTAGGATATGCTATGGTTTAGTAAAAGGAATACAGTTATTGTGGCAGCAGAAATGAGGGATATTTAAATCTCCATGGCATTTTGAAATCTGAGAGTAATTTCTGAGCTTATTTATTAAATGTTACTAGTTTATTTATTATCTGTTTGCAAAAAGATTGTTTAATAGTGGCTCCATAACTACTTCTCAGAAAAGGTTCAGAAATAGCTTGAGATAGACGGTTACCCTCTGAAAAGTCTTTTGCATAGATTATCCACATAAAGAAATAAATCAAAGACTTTGGTTTCCAATATATTTTAAACAATAATTAAATCTGTGCTTCCCTTTTATGTTATTAAAAAAGCATATTAGTACTTTTTAGAAAGGTTCTTTACAACATCTAGAAGAGTAAAAGTCTTAATGATTAACATAACTTTAAATAGATATATTCAAATATACTTGTTAAATAGTTCATTTTAATTTTTATATACATCTTCCTAAAATCTAATACTCATTCTCACACTCTGGTAGAAAAAGGAAAGACAATTCTAGTCATAATAAGACTTTTACAAGATAATTCAGGGTCCTCATTATGAGTATCAATTTCTATGCTAAGGCACAGTGATGCCCTCACAGGCTACTGACACATATAAAGATGTTTCTCCCTTCAACAGATCAGTCTTAGATTGCTGTGTTGCTAGTTGGTGTTTCTTCTGTCTCCTATCCTGTGGCTATCTAGGTTCTCTCTGGCAATGGAATCTTGGGCAGTCCTCATATGAGAAACTAATGATCAAATATTATATGCAAAACCAATTAAAATATATTTTGTGCTTAAAAAGGGATAGCTAAGTGGGGTTTATGACAGTATTTTTCTCTGGCCTTACAGGCGTTTCTGCTTACTTCCAGTTTACCTACAGGTTCATAGCTATTCTGAGTATATACAGTTGTTAGAAGTTGAATCAAAGCATGGATAAGTAAAATGTTAATATACGTTTTATAATGGGAAAACTACTAATATTGCATTTGGATTCATCAGTTTGAAAATTCTAATTCATTTCTAAGTACCTGCACTGGCTGTCAGTGTTGTTTTTTGCTCAATTCTGAAACGAATTTCCTTTACCACTTCCTCGGCTGATGTTCCAAAAACAACTGAGTTTTGGAGTATTTGAAGATTGTTCTGTTCCTCAAAGTTCACTTGGAAAGGGATTCCTGGAGGCTGCAAATCAGGAGGACTATCGTCGAAAAGTAGTGGAGAGATAGATTGTTCATGCTCACTCAATTTATTAACTTCCTCTCTTGGTTTATCTAAATTATAAACAGGAACAGTAATTCATATTCATTTTAAGAAGTACATGGTTCATAAACTCAGTTCTCCTACATTCTTCCTGAAGACAAAACAAATCTAGTTTAGTTTTGTTTCTAATAATCAAGATCAGAAATGTTATTTTGTATTTTGTAACTTCAACAAAAAACACTGATTTTAAGTTTTCCTTAAAAAGAATATTATACATTTCTATTGTATACATTTTAAAAGAAATATCCAATGTTAAAGTCACTAATTTTTGTACCTAAATTAATCAAAACCCAGAGTTGGGTTTAGATTCCCCTTACTATTTTTTGAAAAATAAAATCTATTATTTTCCTTTACTCATCTCTGGGGGAAAAAAATATATACCTTCTTAAAACAGAATTTAGGAATGAGGAAAAAAGGTATAAAACCATTTAGAAAATTTATGCCTAGAAAAATTAGTTTTGTTTTGTTTTTTAAAAAATAATATTTACATTTTTTTCATTCAAGGAATAAATCTTTCAGATGTTAAAATAATCTAACCTAGGTGTCCATCAACAGAAGAATGGATAACCAAACTATGGTACATACAAACAATGGAATACTAAGCACACTAAAGAATAACACAGAATCTGCAAAACACTGCATAACGTGGATGAACTTGGAGGAAATTATGCTAAGTGAAATAAGCCAATCACAGAAAAACAAATATTCTATTAGTTCATTGTTGTAAAATTCAAGGAAAGATTAATATATGGAAGGAAACTTTGTTAGTTACTAGATATGAGAGGGGAGGGAAGGGAACACTGCAGGAAAAAAAATTCTTTAATAATTCTGTGGCTTACAGCTGCCTGTAGGAACCACTTACAGGTATTACATGGAGGTGGGCATTAAAAAAATAAAATAATAAAATAATCTAAATTTTCTTCTTTCAATGTTAATTTTAATTTTGACTTGCTTGTTTATAAATTATCTCTTTACTAAGGGCACATAGTCAACATATTGGAATTATGTCTGAACGTTTTATTTCTTTAAATACACAAATATGATCTTAATCATGAGTAACAGAAAGAAGCCTTTCTTCTTATCAGTGATCTGTAAAACTAATATTATAAAAAAGTACAAATACTAATCTCATTTTTATTTACTTATTTAAATATTATCTCATTTTATTTGCATTTTTCATAAATGGAGTATAAAATATACTTAACTCTATATTGATACTAAAAATGTCCTCATGAACAAATCCATAAAAAGATCTGACTTTCTGGATTTCAGGAAAGAAAAATGTAGTTTAAATGGATTTTTTAAAATGCATTTTATTGAAATGTAATTTATGTACAGTGAAATACACAAAACTAAAGTGACATGGCTCAATGCATTTTTTGCTGTTTCCTCCCCTCCCCTCCCCCCCCTGGCAGCCAACAAAGAAAGTTTCCCTCCATATATAAACCTTTCCTTGACCCTCCACAACAATGAACTAATACTATATTTGTCCTTCTATGATTGACTTATGTCTCTTAGCATAATGTCCTTCAAGTTCATCCATATTATGCTGTTTCGCAGACCCTACATTATTCTTTAGTGCTGCAAAGCATTCCATTGTGTATGTACCATAGTTTGGTCATCCGCTCTTCCACTATAAATCTTAGAGATAAGACCCTTGCCAGATATGCAATTATCAGCAAATATGAATTTGTCGCTGTCATTTTTGTTATGTGCTTTTTCGTGGTGTTGATTTCTTTGTTCCATATAATTTTCTATGCTGAGCTCATTTTGTTTATGAATCGTGTTATCACTTCCTTCATTGCTATTGTTTTAGTATTTGCTGAATATTTATGCTGGTCCTCTTTTTTGATGTGAAGGTTTATAATTTTTCTTTGAGGTTACCCTGTGATTTATAGTTTTTGTCCCAAGCTTAGAACAGTCCGTTCTATCTTGTAGTTGTCTTGACTTCCCTACCATCTAGAAGTTCTGTGACAACAGTTTTTTCCCTCTTTTTGGTTTGAAGTTGTCGTCATTTGTCAATTGATGTCTCTGGTTCCCTGTTTACAATCTTGTAGGCTTCTTTACTTTGAATACTTCCACAGCTGGGTTGGTTTCTGGGTTGTGTCATCATGTGTGTTAATGGTCAGTTGTTGTTGGCTGTTGTTGCTTCTCTGTCCAAAGGACTCCCTTTAGCATCTCTTGTAAGGTTGGTCTAGTTTTAACAAATTCCCTTAATTTCTGCTTATCTGGAAATGTCCTAATTTCACCCTCATATTTGAGGGACAATTTTGCTGGGTACATAATTCTTGGTTGGAAATTCTTCTCTTTCAGGGTTTTATATACACCATCCCATGGTCTCTTGCCTGCATGGTTTCTGTTAAGAAATCCGAGCTTAATCTTATTGGTTGCCCCTTGTAGGTAACTTTTTGTTTTTCCCATGCTGCTCTTATGATTCTTTCTTTGTCTTGGTTTTGGTAAGTTTGATGATATGTCTGGGTGATTTTCTTTTGAGGTTTATCCTGTTTGGGGTTCACTGGACTTCCTGAATGGATATATTCTCATCTTTCATCATACCAGGAAAATTCTCTTCCAACAAATCTTCGACAATTGTCTGTGGTTTTATTTTTCTCTTCCTGTTCTGGAATTACGATTACACGTAGGTTATTCCTTTTGATAGTATCCCACATGAATCTTAGGCTTTCTTCATTTTGTTTTTATCTTTTTTCTGATTTATCTCTTTCCAAAGAAGTGTTCAGGTATTTGCCTTCAATCTCTCTAATTCTGTCTTCCATTGATTCAATTCTGCTCCTTTGCCCATTCAATGTCTTATTTTCTGAAACTTTAGTATTAATCTTCTGGATTTCTGTGTGTAGATTTTGTATCATTTCTAATTTTTCATTTATTTTGTTATTTTGTTCTTGTATTGTCTTTTGCTGGTGGTTCAAACCCACCAGCCACTCCCTGGAAGGAAGATGGGGCAATCTACTTCCACAGTGATACTGCCTTGGAAACCCAAGAAGGGGTCACTATGAGTCGGGTCCGACTCAACGGCACATAACAACAATAACAACAACATTGTCTTTTGAAATTGTTCTAGGGCTTTCTCTGTGTTTTCCTTGGTCTGTCTCTCAGTCATTTGAAGATACCTAAATATAATTCTATTGAATTCCTTATCAGGGAGTTCCAATGTTGCATCTTCCTCAGGGGTGTGTTTTGGGTCTGTATCCTGGTCCCTTGTTTCTCCTGCTTTATCTTGCTTCTTTGTGTGGACTGTGATGCTCTGTTGTCTCTGAGGCATTTTGATGTTTTTGTGTTTATATTTAATAAGCTGGAGTGATTTGCCTATGATTTTTGTTTTCTGTTTTGTTTGTATGTTATCTATGCAAGTAGGGTACTGTGCTATGCTCTTCTGTTCACTAGTTGACAGCACTTATACACTCACCACCTGTCTCCTTTCCTGTTGTCACCCTCTCGTATGTCCCTGCTGACCTTGGCAAACAGAGCCTATTCTTAGGTCCCTGGAATCCAAATGAGAATGCGATCACTTTAAAATCCAAAATAGCCACCACTTGTAAACGTTCAAAATGGCTGTACCCTTGGTCACTTAAATATCTAAAATGGCTGCCAGTTGTAAACATTCAAAATGGCTAAATTCTTGGTCACTGTGAATATCCAAAATGTCTGTGGCATGTAAACAATCAAAGTGGCCACGCCCTCTTGAAAGCGGAAAGTCAATAGCTCAGGTTGTCTCCCTCCTTGCTGTTTCCCTTTCTAGTCACAGACCACCAGCGCAGTCGTCCCTGCAGCACTTGGTGACCAGGGTTGATCTTTAGGCCAATTCTCAGGTCCCAACACCACTTGGAAATATTCAGACTGTTGGTTCCATCAGACTAGCTGACAGTCCGCAGCTCTGACCGTCTCTGTACTCACTGTTTTCGTTCAGGTTTTTCCATTAGTTGGTGCCTAATCCACTTCTGCATAGTTCCTTTCAAAGCTCAGAGCCCCAGGATTATCTTCTGTATCTCTGTCAATTGGTTTTTCTTTTCTTTGTTGAAGAGGGTCTGTGTTGCTTGTCTGCCTATTTCTCCATCTTACCAGGAGTCCTTAAATGGATCTTTAACATCTGAGATTAACAACAGAGTCTTATAACCCCACTCCATAATGGTATTACATACAAAACTTTTCCAAGCTAAGGTAAATGCAGAAAGAAAACTTAAATATCTATTTTTTAACACCTACATAAATGTCCATTACTTGAAAAATTAAGTTGGTCTTTTAGAAAGCTTTTCTGAAGATAACATTTATGGAATTGTAAAATTTTAACAAACATCTGTGAATAATATAACAAACTTCTGATTAGTTTCAAAATTTGAAGTATGTAATATGAAGTAAGTTATAGACAGATGTTTTCCATATTTGAATTCCCAGGCCACATAAAAAATAAGCCTTATTTTAAAATTCACATTAGCTGTGATTTATATGCTTCAGTTCATTCTCCATATTCTGGTTTTAAAATGCAGAGCAATTCAGAGGGGATTAAGACTGTAGGATAACTGAAATGATACCTACCTGGACCCCTTTCTCTCCATCTGGTTAGGGAGAAGTAAAGGTAAAGAAAGGTGCAGGTGAAACTAGAGGACATGGTACCTGCCATGTTCACAAGACCCTTCCACGGAGTACCTCAGGCCATGTTTTGTACCTTATGCCCCTGGCAGTCTGCTGTCAGGTGAGCCACTGTGATAGCAGAAGACTAAAGTAGAAGCAAAACATGATGCCTTCTGGTACATTACTAGAGCTGCTGCTAAATGGCAGTTATATTGTCAACCTGAACTACAGTCTACCTCTCTGTGAGGTTGTGCTGTGTAACTAGCTGCTGAATGGTTTATTTGCTTTCTGACAGAAATATCTTTATTATTCTCACAAATGAGGTCATCAGAGTAGAAAAATGAGGTTTCTTATAATCTGAAATACTAGAATTATAGCATCCTATATGGATGGCAAGTACTAAAAAGTGTAAAATGTTTCAAAG